TCCTGCCCCATTAGCGCAAAGTTACAGTCACATTAAGAGAAACTGCTTCATAGAACTCCTGAACCTATCTACATCTGCTTGCAAACGTGGAAAGCCATGAAATAATAGTATCCTGTAATTATATTGCATCAACTACTGAAAAAGATCTCAGAACATAACTTTCAGACTCAGATTATACCTGCTAGTAGATATTTGTTCATACAACAAAAGTGAAGTTTATACTGTGCTTTTCTTCTGTCTTTTTGTTTTTTTGCCAGAGAACACCTATTGTACATTTCTATTGCCTATTGTATACACCAGCTATGTATCAGCTGCCAGATGTTGCCCCAGAAATGTCAGCTGCTGCTTGAGGCAGGGAGTGAATGCAATTAGAGATGCCCTGGTGACAGCTTGACACTTCTGGTGGCAATGTTTAAATTTTTAATTGGGCATGTAACACAAAAACCACACAATTTGGATTGTTCCTGAAAACTGGACCAGTATACTACCCTAACATCTTCTTTCAGCTGGGAGATGCAAGGATCAATGTGCGGGCAGAAGCCCAGATGGATTGACTGCTTTTTGTAAAATATCTGAAACTATTTCCTGAAACATATTCCGCATCCAGTAGCTGTGAAGAGACCTGCTTTTTAAGGCAGTAAGTAATGCTACTGCTTTAAAGCAGTTCATTGCTTTTATACTGAAACATTAGTATACATAAATATGCAAAATATAAAAAATAAAGAGTCTGAATACTACTTTCACTACTTATGTGATTAGCTACCTTTTATTACATTTCTATCTATCCATTTCTACTAGCATGTCAAATGCCTTTTCAAATAAACTGTATCAAATCAACTTACAAATTATAAATTAAAAACTTTGGATGCAATCATTAAGCAAAATGTATGAAGTACATTTAGTAGTAGAACTACTCTGTATGAATTAGCTTAGTGCAATCATGACAAGCAAAAAAACCCCAAAAGACATGCCAAGTTCAAATTAAATGTAGTCTATTCCTAGGGCTACATGACCAGATCCTACCCAACATCAGATTCATTTTGGATACACAGTATTTACTTAAATCTAAGATGACCTTCTTCTCTTTTACAAATTACAAATCCAAGGGTAATGGTGTAAGGGTAAGGGTAAGGGTGTTTGTTCATCCAGCATAGATTTCTTTGAACTACCTTACCTCTATCCTGCATTTGCATTGCATTACAGTCCAGATTAAATAGGTTGCAAGTGAATGAGTTATGTATGTTAGCTGCTCCATGCTAGCTACCTCTGTGCATGCGCTATTAGTGTAGTATAACTTAAAGTACCTTACTGAAAGATGTCTGTAATACTGTATCCACGTACCAGCACAGTGCAGTTACTGTTGACAGCAACTTAGTTCTACCTGGCCATTTAGGATAGGGATTAAAATACATTAGTTGAAGCTGCAGGAGTAATTTGGGATAAGGGAACTTAGCTGGATTTTGGTCAAGAGGTTGAATTTATAAATCTTTATTCTTGTGAAAAATACCATGGGCCCAATGTAATTCTGACTCTTCATTAGGTTTTCCAGAAAAATGCTGGGTTTTTACTGTCCCAGAGGGATGAACACTATATTTGGAATGACAGACACTATCTGTATTTTCTCTTTACATAAAAGTGATCATAAGCTATTTTTTTCTGAGAGTCAGTGGGCTGATCTTCATCTCAGGTTTATCTTGTATTTGGATAAATATGAAACATACTCTCAGAATGTGGACAGTAGTACCCTGTCTGCTGTTAACCATTTGCCAGTCAACTCTGGAAGGTGTGAGTCTTGTGTAATATTTACAGAAGGTACCAGTGCCTACAAAGCGGCAATGCTATTGGTACCTCATCTCTGATAAGAATTTGCTCCATTTGGAGACTGCCCTCTCCATTTTTCCCAATATATGTCTGTTTCAAAGAGGATTAAAAAATGAAAACAGTAGGGTCATCAAGAATCCCAGAGCCAGGATATCATAGTTATTTATCTCACTTGTGAGACACTGTAAAAAGGGATAAATCAATATAGGAAATTTTATATCTGGATGAAAAGAAAATACAGTCTCTTTTTCTGGAGTGACCTATATTTTCCATTAACTTACCTAGAGCTTCTATGCACATGATCATATGTGTTGGATGTGATCCATGTTGGACTGAGACAACACAGTCATCCTATCCAGACCCAATATACACTGAACAGCAGGGAGAAGGGTCAGAAAATGATTTATGCTGTTCCATTCGATCAGCGTTCACTCTTAGAGCTTGTTTACTACTGGATATACAGAGCACCAAACCTGGCAGAACTTCCATGGGAGAGCAGTGTGGTATAGCTGAAGAATGTGAGTGTGAATTCGTTGGGGAATATCTGCAAAATGTTATTACCTTTTTATAGAGTCAGAAACATACACCTGTTCAGACCTTTCTCAGCTACATGATCTTCACGTTGTGCCTGAAGTTATCTCAACATTTATTAATTCATTTCAGATTCACTTTCTTATTTCATGCAGTTAAGTGAATACTTCGCTCCCTGCACCCACCATTTCCTGGGTATTTTGCTGTGCTACACTTGTCAACGAACCACTGCAGTGCATTTTTCTCTCTCTGCAGTGTTACTGCAGTGTGAACAGCTCTGTAAGTTTTCCTCTCTGCCACTGATTTTACATTAAAAAGACAGGACCAACGCAATCAAATGTCAATATATGAAAAGCCAGTAGTCAAAGGAGAATGAACCAACCACCACATAAAATTCATGGAAAGTAAAAATTTTCTTTCAGTCCAGCAGTTACAGCCTGTTGCCTCTGTATAAGTTCTATGGCCAAAGCCACAGACAATTCTCTTGTTTTATCTAGGAGCAAACTTTTCCCAGTGGAAGCAATGCATTATGTATGAACAACTAGAAAACAGACCTGCTGTTAAGATCTTCCAGAATTGAAACTCGGAATTATGTGTAGTCTCACCAAAAGGAGAAGTAAAAATAATGAGAAATAATCTAGGCATTAACTGATCACACCACTTAGTTTAAACCTAAGTGTTATGCAGCACAGTTGTTACTCTGCAGGGAGGGGGAGGAAGCATACCAAGAAAGTACTTACTTCCTTCAGGATTATAATTCAACTTGGAAACTAACGTGGTCATAAAATATACATGTTAGGATTTAATTTTAGGTCAGAGTCATATGTTAAAAAAGACTGCTACCCTAGATTTTAAAAACATTAGCCTGAGTCATGTAACACAACCTCGTTTTGATCATTCTGAATTTGGAAAATGTACAATTACTGATGCTGGCAAGAAGTCACACCAAGGCCAAATGAGATTAATAAGAAATAAAACCGCATGTCAGTAGCATAATAGAAACTGATATTAAACCAAATGGGCAGAACATTCAGGCAGCTTAGGCAGCAAAGTCCAAGTAAATGGGCTTGAAAGCCACAAGAAAACTCTATAGTAAGCATTAATTTGAAAAAGTTTTCTGTGCAGAATGTTGCAATAGGTTTCATAAACTTAAACCATAAAGTGATTTCATAGCTTTCACTGCTGACCTTAGCACAGTAATAAATCTGCAAAAATCACGAAGTAGGAAAAGATTGGTTCGAAACCATTGGGCAGATGTATCAACAGGGAAAATTCATTCCATGTTCATTTTCTACACTGCCCAAACTTCAGAGACTTCTTCAGCATCTCTCCTGGTGGAAGCAGGGCAGAATTGTAGGATGTGAAGCTGAACAGCTGCAGCAACACTCTCATGTTCTTGGATGTTGGGTTACAACTCCTACAGACAGTGGTATGTTTACAGGAAACATGTAATAAATGAACAATGGCCGCCATTGAAAACTTCTATCAACTACTGCAGCACTAAAGATGCTAACTTCCAGGTTATTTGAAAGAATAGTTTATGGTAACTGGTTGATGTAACCAGTGATAAGCGCTTATAAACTTATATTCACCAGTAACCGTGTTCATTCAAAAACAATTAAAGAAAGGAAACATTTTCATTATTCTGGAGAGAAACAGGTTCCATTTTTTCCTCCCCAGTGTTCTCCAAAGAAGCATGCCTTTCAAGTACACAGGCAGAATATCTACACATGTACCAGGAATTCAGTGAAAGAAAGGGAGATAATGTACAGCACCTACATAATTGACCAAAGCCTGTAACCTCAAAATTCCACTACCGTTTCCATCAGTGGCAGCATGACAATGCATATTAGCATGAGTGTGAGTCGATCAAGCACAAGTAAAGCTAAATATTCAGCAATATCTATTCTGCACAGAGCCTTAAGCCCTGTTTAAGCACACTTACGAAAGTTTAAGAAAGAATATAGCCTAGGCAAAAGAGAGATGGTCTCTTTAAGCCTTGCTCCTGCTACCTATCGCATCAATACATTTTTAGACACTTTATATTCATTTTTACACTCTTGTCCAGAAAAGATTTACTGTTTTAGGACACTATGTTGGAAATAACATTGATATAAACGATTCATATGTACTGTCCAATTATTTCAATGTTTTGGATTAAGAAAGAAGGAGAGATTTTAGGCTGTTTTCAAACTACCAAAATACCGCTGAAGTCCCTATGCTTAAGCTGACAGGAAAAGGAAGGCAGGGGTCTGGTTAGGTCTCTGGAAAGAGTACCAAGAGCCTCAGCAAAGAGTGGAGCAGGTAGCTAAAAGGAAATGTAGGTGCAGAAATGTAGATTGCACTCAGCAGAATTTAGGCCATCCAAACCCAGCACTTGTTTTCTCTATTGCACAGCACAGTGGATGAAATTCTGTGGCCTACTTGTGCGTAAGGTTGAAAAAGATGACTGTAATGGCTTGTTTTGGCCTTCAATTCATGTCTCTGATTTTTCTTTGGGCTATGCTTTCCCACTGCTCTGGCAATAAATAGCCTATATTTAGGCATGCTTAAAAGCATTTTTGCACTGCTACAACAGAGTAAAGGGGTTTCAGAGTAAACAAAATTCATACCCTCAGTGGAAGTTTTTTTCAAGAAAGCTCTCTTACCTCTTTTTCCATTTGAAGACCTTCTGCTCTGATATTTCTCTCAAATACTTCCCTCTTTTCTGTCTGTGGATTAGATTTTCTATATACCAGGATGTAGTCAATCCGACATTTCCCATCTCTAAAATATAGTCCATTGGCTTTGTTCTTATCAGGTACTTCCTGTAAAGAGAAAGTCAAACATTTCAGTAATGTTAATTTGCCGTGGTAATTGCTGCATTGCTGTTAGCATCAGCAGTTTTCAGTAATACTCAACAGGAAAGATAAGGAATCAGAACAAGCTGTTCAAGTTTTTACGTGCTTTACATACAGTGCCTCTGAGGTCACCTGAAAGTAGTACAGACTTCCCCATTTCAAAACCAGGTCTTCTTAGGCAGATGTTTGGTCATATAGGCATGGGATAGGAGAGAACAGAGAATGCAAGCCAACCTTCCTCTCCCACCACCCTCCAGAAAATTAGGAATAACTTCTTACATAAAAAATAAAGCAGAAAATATTGTTACTGAAGCGTAAATTTAAAATTAAGAACTTAGTATGGTAGAATATCTTTGTATATGTGAGAAGAATAAACAACGACATGAACATTTACTGCGGTGAGAAACACTAAGACCTGGCACAGACATTCTCATTGCTTTCTGATCACTATAGTACCTCTGCCTCACAGGACACAGAAAGGATATGAAGGTCCTGTAGCTACCTCCTCATACCTCATCAGACTAACTACAGAGTATTCTTGGCTTAAGGAACAGCTGAGGAAGCCCACTAGATTTATTTGAAAATAATTCCTGGTGTTCGGTCTAGTAGTACGTAAACGCAATAAATACTGTCTCTTGGCTACTTCCTGCAAAGAATGTGCCTGTTCAAATATTTGCTCTGACAGAAAGAAACAACTTTATTTCACTGTTAATAAGAGGTCAAGCAGGTCCCTCTCCTGAGATCTGAAAGACCAAAATGCTGGTCTTTTTTCAGAAATTCATGAGATGAAACTCTCTACAGATCCTCCTCACAATTTAACACTACTTCCACATAATACAAATCCTGCCCAGGGGTTAAGCTTTCGCTTTCAAACAAGTTGAAACTGTGTGGTAGTTTGTGGGCTGGAATGTTTCGTACAAGAAATGTACACTGTGAATTATATATGGGAACAAACTGCACTCCGTCAGGGCAGTATAATGGGCAGGGGCCTTCAGGGACCTCAAGATCAGTCCAGCTCCACGCTGACGTGAGGGTTAGGCTAATTCCTCTCTGGTTTTCCAGAATTTGCTCAATGATTCCTGCCAGAAATAGCCATGCCCTGTAATATATGATCAAAACTCTGAAAAAAAATGAATATTTTGCTTTTCATATCTGGGAATAGTAGGGAATTTTCAAAATACTTTCTCCATTGGAGAACTGCTTCTTAATTTAAATCGCAAAAAGTGAACATAGTAATAGGACAAATGATTCTTACAGGAAAAAAAAAAAAGAATGCTCCCATACAAAGAGTTTAGTGTAAGCTATCTTCCCGATTCTCAGCAGGCATTTTGATTAAGTGGAAAAACCAATGAAAGCATCCCAAATGTGCCATCCCCTTGGTACATCCAGTTTACTGAAGGCAGAAAGGGGAATTTTTCTAAGATTCTTTTATTACAGTGCCTGACTCCTGACACAACTTAATGCAGACTTGAAATAGTGGAACAGTTCTTTGAGCTGAAAAAGAAGGCAAGAAAAAAGATTTAAGCCCTAAGGATATAACAGTAACAAACAATTTATATCTATACTGTATATCATGCTGACAAATGATATTATCAGGATATCAGAAGTATTTTTCACAGAGCATTAAATATGAAAACAGCTCAGGAAGCACAGTTTATTTTTTTCCCATAAAATATCTATGTTGAGAAGACGTAAAAAACCCCAAAAGGGTATTTAAGGTTATTTACATAAAGAAAGGGTGTAGTAGGAGATTTAGAGGCAGTGGGTCAGCCTGGTGGTCCTGTTCTGATTTCTAAGCCTCCTGCTGAGCCATCCTTCCTGTTCTGTAGGTCCCAGAGTCACTATGTGTATTTTAGCAAGTAAAGCGGTGTAATAGGAAAGGATCTGTAGAGCAAAACAATCTGTGCTGAGGACCTGCTGTCCACACAATGTAGGCTTGAGGGCTTACTTTGCACCCACTCTAGTCTGGTCCAGGAGACTCACTGAAGTACATCTCATAATTTATTTGCATCCAGAAAGAATCCAGGTTTGAAATCCAACACTGCTCTGGAATGCAAACAAAGCACGGGTAGGGGCAATTGAGAGATTCACTTCAAATGTACACTCCTAATCTGAACTAAAATGTTAGCACAGACGTGTCCAGAGTGTACCACAAGGAATCATAGAATCATAGAATAGTTCAGGTTGGAAGGGACGTCTAAAGGTCATCTAGTCCAACCCCCCTGCCGTGGGCAGGGACATCTTCAACCAGATCAGGTTGCTCAGAGCCCCGTCCAACCTGACCTTGAATGTTTCCAGGGAGGGGGCATCCACCACCTCTCTGGGCAACCTCTTCCAGTGTTTCACCACACTCAGCGTAAAACATTTCTTCCTTATATCTAGTCTGTATCTACCCCCCTTTAGGTTAAAGCTGTTCCCCCTTGTTGCAACAGGCCCTGCTAAAAAGTTTGCCGCCATCTTTTTTATAAGCCCCCTTTAAGTACTGATAGGCTGCAAGAAGGTCTCCCCAAAGCCTTCTCTTCTCTAAGCTGAACTACCCCAACTCTCTCAGCCTTTCTTCATAGGAGAGGTACTCTATCCCCCTGATCATTTTCGTGGCCCTCTTCTGGA